CTGCATGTTGCCGGGCTAGCGTTTGCTGGCTATACAGGTGCCAGGATTCTAATAAAGCTAGTCCGGGGAGCGTAAAATCAGAAGATGTTTGTGGTAGATATTGAAACATGATGGAAGTGTCTTCTTAGTTATCGGCATACTTGGTCTTCATTACCTAGGGTGTTGTGGGCGTGGTCCACTTGTCTTAATTTGGAACCTCTGAACATGCTTCCAATCAATTTCAACTATCTGGGAATTATGGTTATCCCTAGCTCGTTCATGTTTGTGCACAAGGAATTTCTGACTAGTAAGTTATGGCCCTTGTACCTAATAATCCGCTGAAGGTGTGATAGGCTCGTTCGAGCTGGTCTATCCCGATCCGTGGTTGTGGTCGGAACAGAAAAGATCAATGTTTGGCAAGCTTAAAACAGCTCTGAACCAAAAAAAACGCGAATTGGTAATTACCGGTGATGCCCGAAATGCCCGCACAATACCGTGTGTTACCTTGACAGTGTCAGTTTAGATTTTAGCTGTCCAAGCAATGACACGCTTGTGCATCAGTCAATTATACCTCGCGTCTCCAGCATCTCAAGAAGTGTGTGAGTATTTGTTATTTCAACGATAGCCATACAGCCCACCAGACGGACTTCGTCGTGGTGAGATCTAGGTGGTTTCATACAATCTGCATTTCCGTTCTTTTAAAGAAAAACTATGGAACAGAAAAGGGCCAGATTACGTTGTTTCAAGCAATGCCTGCGCTTTGTCTAATAAATCTTCCAAGTCTTCGAATGCAACATCGCCGTTTACAGTTGTCCGGATAAGCATCGCCCGCAATAAAGAAGTGTCCTCCAGTGCTCGACAATGTCAATACATAAGAGGCGTGTACTCTTGGTGTCGCATGGTGGTACTGCTAGTCATCTGGAAACAACTCCACACCGACAGAAGTTTTAGATCATACCCTTCTAAAGAGGCGAAGTTGTCAAGCGTACTGAACTATCCCGCACTCCTATGTCATGCATTGTGGTCTTCAGGAACAATTGGAGTCACTACTGGACTGAACTGATAACCACTGATAAGTTCGTCAAATTGTGGTAATAGTCCGAAGCCATTTCACCGCCTTCGACTCGCCTTCGGTGATCATCACCATCATCATTGGCATTATAAGACCAGCGTTCAATACTGATGCTTGATTGCCGTGAACGATTATCCGCCAAATCCTTCTGGCACACTGCATCTGGCCAGACCATTCCCGAACGCTAACTAGTGTTTTTCGATCAGTTGAACACATCTTTCTCACCCGTGAGTCCCTCACTGAGGTGTGATCAAAGCAATGTCTATCCAAAGAAAAAAGAAAACCGAAGCAGTTGATCTGTTGAAAGACGGCAGTTTGAAAACCCCAGGTCAGACTAACTCTTTCCGCATCACTCCAGGCCCTGTTCGTCCTGAAACGTTAAAGTGTTTCTATTTTATTGGAACACCTCTGATCTTCCGTCCTTTCCCAGAGGAGGCGACTAATCTGTTTATAGCACTCATTGGTATAAGCTTCTTGATTTCATCTGCGAAGATCTTGAATAGCTTTGCCAGTAAAAAAACGTCCACATACCAGGCTAAAGCAGACGGGATTTCGCCCAGAGCAAGTTTTTACCTATCAGTTATTCGCGTTTTGAAATAGCAATACAAATAGCAAAAACCAACCATCATTTATTTCATCGGCTTCGACTCCGTACTGAGAAGCCATGAGGAGTGTGGTGAAATCGGGCCTCCCCTTGGAGTTAGTCAATGTGTTGAGGACGCTACAAGGGTCCGTATTTGTGAGAGAGTCGTCAACCTTTGTTCTATCATGTGGAGACTGACAAGGGTATCCGCTTCCTCGCATGCCGTTTGATTTCGTGTAACGCACCAGTCTTTCGTCGCACGTTATCATTTTCGGTATCAATGTGACACTAATACATTCTGGCGCTAAACTGCCCTAGAACCATGAAGGAAGAAATCTTCAGTAAAGAATGGAAGTAAAGAGGAAGGATAGTGCGAAGAAGCCGTTTCTCCTTAGTGGACAATCAGGAATAATAAGCTCACACTTTTGGACAGCATTGAAAGTAAGTCTGATCATTACGCCGAATTAAGGCACTATCAGCGAAATCGACCCGACACAAAGCCAGCGCACAACGACAGGCGAACTTGAGCTTAGCAGTCCAGCTAGGAAATGACAGCTTGTACGCCACTGATATTCGTTGCTTGCCCTCTCCTGCAGGGTTTCCAACTACGTGCAACCATGATCACATGCGCCACAGCCGTGAAGACGCAAATATGCCGGAGCACTCAGTTTAATTTGAACTGTTTTCACTCCACGTCGTCATGGCTTGGAACGGGAAACAATGCTTTCCTTGGTAGACCGTGGTTGGGCATGTTATATATTCTCCAACACCGCCGCCCACATACTATTCTTTTCTCCGTGTCGGTTAGCTGACGACTTGGATGAACGCTGCCTAGTACGGTTTGACGCCGCTGAAACAAACCTTGGGTTTATGTTTGCGGAGGTCTTGCTACCAGCGGTCATGCTTCAGATGATGTTATTGGGGACATCGTAGAAGCCGGTTTATCGTCACTGGAATGATAGTCAAGGTAAAGTGATAAAGTGAAGCGTTGGAATCATCCTCGATGCCGCTCAATCCATACTCAACCCATCCATCCGTTTAATCCCCATATTCTATGATGAACGAATCTTCCCGTGATCGTTGTTAAACCGAATGGTCCTTTCTTTCTCGTGAAATACTGGATAGAAGTCAATGGCCATGAGGAACTCGCCTAGTTGATTTCGTTCCCTAGGACACTGCACGGATCGCTTACCTATCTACGTCAGCGTCACCTTTCCGTTCCACTCATTTTTCCATTAGTCCCGATTTGACGTTACTGAAGATGCCATGCTTAGATGACTAACTTGTCGTAGAATTGTGTGGCCTCTTGGTATAGAGGAAGGTCTGCCGTAGCTAATAGTTTCCGTTTCACCAAAATCATTTCCTCCAGAAGATTTTATGTCTAAAGCCACTCATTGGGGAATACTCTTCGAATAACCATTCAGCAAGCGCATTTTACAGACACTAGTGGATACTGATTTCTCACGAAGACGACTGCAGCGCGAATTTTCGATCATCCCCTTTGACAAGGCAACCGGTCTGAGTAATTACATCTTCTCAGGCTCGAGGTGGTTAAGGCGTGAACTTACTGACCGGAAGATGCGTGGTTCTAATGCGACGTATCTCCACTGCCATTGTCTAGGATTGGGCAACATGTCAATATCTTGGCCCCCATAATCCGTTCGGGTGGCATGGCAGTTAGGCTTTTGAAGGGGGCTACAGCTGAACGTTTCTTTCTTCGTGATAACTCTCGGGGATAAGACTGGTGACAACCCTTAAGAACCTAACCATAGCTGTGTGATACCAGGTTAGAGTGGGTGCAACGGGGTTCTTCGTTTCTATTTCAAAAAGGGATACAGAAACACCTTGTGAAAACCACTGTGACATCAATCTTGTAGCCATAGTGCTCCAAGTGCTCTCGGGTGCCGGCTTGCGCAGATAATTCGAGTACCAGGGAGATCCAACCTGTAGGTATCAAGCAGCGTTTCACACTGAATGACAAGGCATCAACCACTTTCATCATCTGACACATACGTGAGAGCCGCCACAACTCCCGACTACCGCAGATTTTTCTTGACCACAAAACGGTCTTCGGACATGTTGGTCGTCAAGTATTTGGGTTGTTGTTATCGTTCAAAGTTGTCGCACCTAACTTTCTCCTGTGATTACATACGGATGTGTGACGAGCCCACTTGAGTTCACCACTCCTAGTAGTGTCGGATCAAGCTGTCTCCTATCACTTTTCAGCCTTTTAGTTGTTACATGAGTTTAACCACTAAAACGTCTTGAACTTCACGAAATCAGTACAGGCATTTGCCCTGAATGCGACGTATCATTGACATGTGTTCAGCATGTGTTTGACTCTGTTACTGATATTCATTGGACCATTTTCATACGACTGGGTGTCTGAACGCGGAAATCCTGGAATTATCGAATTAGACCATTATGACCCTAAGAATAATGATAGCATCCCTAGAAGCTTGGTCAACAGATCTGAGAACGTTTGGATGAGGGAACGTCCATGAGATAGTCGTCTATGGAAATAATCCAGTGTTGAACGTAATTACTGTAATTACGTCAACCTCGAGCAACATGGCAGTTGGCACTGCGTAAATGGTGATTGTATGCTGTTCCGTTGCAGATACTCCTTCAAGTTAATCTACTCACATGTTCACTACTTTCACTTTTTTCAAGATCTACCGTACGGTCATTCACAATGTTACCCTCTTTCTGTCACTATCTGGAGCTTTACTTTGCGGATTTTAGATTGTCCAACTTTTGGCCCTAATGTTTGAGTGTAGGCACGATTTCAATGATCATATGGACTCAGTCGTTTGCACGCTGTTAGGTGCATGAACTACGTGGATTCGGCGCATACTAACGCGAAGGCGTTAATCGTTTTGTTGGCAATACGTCGATGGAAACAGTCGTAGTCCCATCAGCCCATTGTTCGATTGGGTAGGGCGGTCAACGACCCTGGATGTGTTCAGGAGTACATGAAAGCCCCGCGCAATATCTTCGTTCATAATAATTACCCCGAGTTTCTCATGACAAGCAGTCAGCGCCTATAGAACTCCGTGGTACTGTATTGTAAGCCCCGAACATGTCTACCCTCTTCTACATTCCAACATCGGGGATGTTTTGCCACTCACCAAGTATTACCTCAAAACACATTCGGCACCACCATCATCGTCATTGACAGCAGCACTGGTGCTCCACTGCCGTTTGTTTGACTACGAAGAAGAAAGAAATGGAGCAGGAAGAGGGACTTAGGGTTAGCCTGCAACACGTATTCTCCAACACTCAGTCAAGCCCAAGGAGGGTCACGTGGATGCCACCCTGGGCGTTAACCTTGTCCTTAGAAAGAGCATCAGTGAATGCAGTAGAGTAAGTTGCGTCCACTTTGGGAAGGAATGCCAGGCTACAGGGGGATAAAGGCATATACTCTGAAGAGAGCATGCTTCCACGGGGTAGATGGTTTCGTTCAGTTTCGAGAGTTCTTCACTTTTAAGGGATAGTATTGTGGCTTTCCCATCAGGTCAACCTGCCTGCACTGGCTTTTTCTAAACCTTCAATGACCTAAGTACTTTGCGTATTCATTTTCGATTAAATAATTTACGTATGCTGCATACCAAGTCAGAATACATTTTGAAAAGCTAAATAAGGCCACCACTTTGGATTCACTGATGAGTCACTCTCAGCCATAGTAACTTTCAGTGATATTCGTGCGTACGGTGTCCGCTTTGTTGGGAGGTTAATCAAGCTGACCTTATCCTTTCTAGGTTCCCGTTCAATGATCTTGTCCGATGGTTGGAGGTGAACAGAACCGTGAAGATGATGTCAGTCCTACCAAGGTAAACGGCCCGACCAAAGATGCTCAAGAAGTTCCCCATACTACCGACTGCACAAACTCTACGTCTGAACCCAACGTTAAACGGGCTCGTCTAGGCTTCGATAATACCAATCAGCCTCATGTTACTACCAACGGCTTCGTCGACAAAGCGTCAGATAAAACGTCTAATGTGGGGTGGCCATTTCGTCCAGACTTGATGCAACTATTCAAGAACTCGTTCGATTGCCGTTTCAAAGATTCCCTACAGCATAACCTCTCATCCTATGTGACCCGATTAAACACGGCTGAAGAGAGCCTGACTGCACTGAAAGCGGAATTCAATGAGATCGCGGAACGTATGGACTGCATTGAAAAGGCGTCAAAGGATTTGAAACAGATCATCATTGAACGGGTTAGTTGGGCTAATGTCATCCGTTTTCTGCAGGATTATCTCACTAAGTTTTCCTAACTACTTCAAAAGGGGCAAGAGATGGTTTATTGTTTCCCCATTATAGTTTCATTTTTATTTTGAATTTCTGTTTGTTTGGATTTCTCTCACTGATGACTAGCATTTCATGTTTAAGTTGATTAATTTGGCGTATCTCCTGAGGTTGGGTTCTTCTCCATTGACACCGGATCATTTCTGTTGATCCACACTTTCGTTGAGTCACATGCCAAGTCAACCACATTACGAACGTGGAAAAGAATTCGAACCTCAGTGTGCTTCTGACGTTAGATCTCCGAGACCAAGTAATCCTCGCACGTGCCTAGTATAAACCAACACCCAAGCCTAGGGGTGAAATCGTACTGTCAACCGAACCCATAGATGCTTGTATTGTCGTTTTAAAAAGTATTGCTCAGCTGTAGCACCCTTTCGGTGCCTAACTGCCATGCCACCCGAAGGTTGCACGAGGACTGGGATACTGCCAGGTTACCCAAGCCTAGACTGGGGAAGTCGAGAGGCGGGGGTCGGGTTCGAGCCACGGACCTTCCGGTCAGTAAATTTGAGCTCTAACTACTTGGGCCATCTCGCCCTGGGCACAAATCCCTAACGCTGGTGGTGTTCGACTAGTTCTTTGAAGTACGAGCCGCGACCACCTTGGGTTTCTTGTTTTCAGCCTCCCTGTGACCACTAGTGTGAGCCGCGTTTATCAGAAGCTTTAGTCGAATAGCGTAAAACCGACCACCTAGGCTATATATCAGAATAGCTTGAGTGGTGAGTAAAGGTTGGTACAGATGCGTCCTCAACATAGCGTGATCAAAATTTCTATCAGTGAAACTGCGATGCCAGTATGGTGACGCAGAGAGAACACAAGTCTGTATTTTTGCAGAAATTACCTTGGCTAAAGCGGTGTGCTGGCACAGTGAGGTACCTCAGTCGTCCGTGAACCTGGTGAGTTCTGTCATTCCATATGAACGCGTGTGTCAGCCACATCGAGTTGCATGTGTATTTATTGTACGTATGTGAAAACACTGGGGTCACATACGGTCATTCCCACTGTCAAGTGGGTCAAGGTTGTACGCATGGTACGTAATGCAGGCGGTTATAGCGTAAATAAAATTGATGGAGTGTACTTTTATTGATCAAACTAAGCGAAATGGTGTAAAGGTTAATTGAGCAAAGTGGAGCCTTTACACCAGTACGACCTCTAAACAATCCGTTTTATCAAGATTTGGCATCATAGCTCATGCCCTGAGGTACCTTGTGAGTCGCTGAAAATCATTGAGTGAACCCGAGAAACGTCACAATATGCCGGTCAATGATACCCGATTGTATTCAAGGTTTGTGTTTACACAATGGATTATCTACCAGCTTCAATAGACTTTCAATACTTTTCCCGCAATCAGCAAACCGACTGCATGGGAGTATCTTGTCCGCTTTGTCGAAATCCATATGCTTGTTTACTGTGGGAACAGTGAAAATGTTAGTTCTATTGTCAAGATCCCCGTTTGCTCTCAGTTTGTTTTCCTATTAAGGTGATGAGACACGAATCCTAGGTATATACGCCTGACTCTACCACTCGTCTGTGGAAACGCCCCGGTGTTTCACTTGTCAATTTTCCAAGGTACTGGGGACTGCTTGTTCATTTGATCTTTATGAACAGTCTAGCTGTTGCCCCTGGTCCTCAGGTGCAGAAATCATGTAAACGGATACTCTTTACAGGGACTCTTGGGTTAGACCAATATCTATCGCGAATGTACTTTGTGTAGGTTCCTTACAGTCGTTCGAAGTGATCTGAACAACGAATTTTTTATCCCGTTTCCAAAGTGAATATAAGTAACGGATACATAGAATCCAACAGTTCGCTCATTACACTCGACACCTATTAAACAGTACTGACTTTAATGAATAACTAACTTGCCCTGCTTGATTGTCTGCAGGTAACCCTCCCCAAACCGACGGCTGGAGTCGGTCAACGACGCACATTGTCTTCTCAGGCACCACGGCTCCCTCCATCCACGCCGGTGACATCAGCAGCTGAAAAGATTGTGAATTCTAATCTAACCAGTCAGCAGCCTGCTGTTGTTTGTCGGAACAGCGTTCTTCCTCCTGCAGCCGTCGCCTCTCCATCCGTGTTTACCAGTTTTCAGTCACCTGTGCATACGGGCCCCGTTCCCAATACTGTGGCCCCCAACATCAGGCCACCCTTACCACTGATTACGACGAGGCCCGCCACCCCTGTCCATCAGAATCCATTTGCAAGAATGCCTCTGAATGTTCGTCCAATGGACACGATTGATCTGACTTCTGAAGGCAGTCCTACTGTAGAGGATACAACTCCACAACCTAAGAAGACCAACGACAGCATACCCACTCTTCCACACACAGTCGGGACAAATCCAGCTCCTCATGCTGCGTTTGCCAATCCCCCTCTTACTCCGCATCCTTGTGAGTGGGATTTTTTTTATTTTCTTCTGATAACTTGTCCACGCAAATTTCCCTCGTCACGTTATATAAGCCTCTACTGAGCATCTGTCTCTTACCTTATCACCAGTTGCCAATCACAATCCGATCACTCCGACCCCGGTTGCACCAGCTAACAATCCTCGAGGCGCTTGGCCTAATGTACCACACATGACGCCCAGTGTGGGCAAAAACCCACGCTTTTCGTCCTTCTCACCCCGACAGATGTCATTCAGAGAGCTGCAGCGGCTTCCTGTCGCTCCATTACCGCCAGTCCCTCTCCAAACAGTCCTTCCCACTCCTGTTCAGCCAATGCCGCAGTTGACAATAGCTGAAGCTGCGGAAGGTATGCACGACCCACGTTTTGTCTTCGTTATTTTTCTTTGTTTTGAACAGATTAGTGAATGTGGCTTCTCCGGTGCAGACAGTATAGTGTTGCTGAACATTTCCTGAAACGAACTAATGTCGTAGGCAAGAGGTTTTTTGCTTCCGAAGTGAGCTGTGCTGGTTTCGGGTTCGTACGTGTTTTCGGCTCATGATGTTTTTCGTGTGATTCATGCGCACTTGCTTCTAATCGACCGCGTTTGTCACTGCCTTGTTCTATATTGTAGGTAGCCGACTTTTGTAATTACTTGGTATATATTGGTTGAGTTAGATTGTCCGCGATCTTCCCAAGGCCTAATCGTTGATAAACAGTAATAGCAAGTTAGACGAGGCATGAAGCTGCGTATACGTGGGTGTGAGAGACATAAACCATGGGGGTATGGTTCTGTGTACGGAACTGCAGTTTCCAACCTGCAAGGGTCCCTTTTGGTATATGGCACAATGTCTTCCTTTTACCTTGATCAGAGCCGGCAAGCTTGAACACAATGTGCGCACCCGTTCACATGTATCATGTACAAATATTCTACTATTTTAGACAAAGTTTCAAGACGCACTGACAAGTCTAGATTCAAAGCTCGCCTGGCCATATATCATAGTCATCCGGGTGCTCCTTACGAGGCATTTGTGCATTTCAACGCACGGGATAGATAAACGGCGTAACTACAACAGCATTCACTACAAACTGAGTGAAGTGGATATCCCGTGGTTTTAACATGAGACGAAAGCGTCTCGCGGAGGCTTGTGTCCGATAACCTGTGACCAGAATTGATCCCAAGGACTTTCCATTTCTGGTTAAATCAACCATAACTTCGCTCATCCGTGTTCATTCGTTTATTCCTGTTTCTCCAATTATCTTACTCTGTACTCGCTTCAAAGGTCATCCGCGCCAACGCGCTAGTTCTCACAGTATGTTTTGAAGTGTAGCTGAAAACAGCGTAAAATGAATCAGAGTTGCAGCTTGGGTTTGGACGCACTCCGCACTTATCTTGTCCAAGTACCAACGGACTTCCATTTCATATTCTCTTCGCATCTAGGTATATGCTTGCAATGGAACGTTGCACATCGTTCGATGGTATTCGAACTGGCAACGGCCTACGAGATTTATAGCTACGCGTCTTCGGAAGTGACTTTGGAAACCCTCTGTACCTGTCTACCCTGGAAAAAGGTGTGTTTTTCTCCTATCGGTCGATTCGCCCCCTTACAAACTTTGAGAAGACTGACCTTCACTTCCGAAGTCGTCAGGGTTATTTTCATTCACTCTCGTTCTGCTCATTTGTCTGTTTCCACTGTCCTTCATAGTGATTTCATAATTTGGTCCATTTTCTGTCCATTGCATTGTCCTGCAAACCCTGTTTTCGTGTTGTCAATTGGATTTGTCATTCTGTCACCGATCCTGCGCAAAACTCCACCGTTTCTGTATAAAGCCATATCTCTATTCTCTCAAACGGGCAAACTGTCTATCGGCTGGCCTTGTTTACACCTCATCAGATTAGGGGGCATCGTCGTGTGATTGTGGGGTTTGGTAGTATTGAATTATTACTAATTATCTGGGCTGCATATCTTCAGTCTGCCCGGTTGTTTAATTTCAAGAATAAACAATAAAGCGGCACTTTTCAGGGATTCCCTGGAACGGTACTACTTCTGAATGTGAGTACATAACGGCTGTTTCGCTCACTGGCTCTGTTGTTTATATCAGACAGTTTTACTTTGGAGAAGCCTCCACTAATCCCGCAACTTATGAGTGCACGCCCGCGTGCAACAGAACGCACCGATCCAGGCAGATTGGCGTTTCAATGATGGCGCCGTCACACAAGGTAGTCAACTGTTTTATTGGAATGACTCAGTATATTTCCTTCACTTTTGGCGGAAATTCTGAGCGTAAAACTAGGTACTAGATACGGACAAGTGATCTCGTTGGTTTGGGTCTGGTTTAACTACCTGAAAGTTCGTGTGTCCTTAGCTGTTTCCTGGTGCTCAGGGACACTTCGTTGGAGGGCCTGATTTCTGTAATCTTTTACCATCCGTCTTGCAGTAGCCAATATAGTACACCTGGGAAGCTGCTGGTGCTTTCACAAGTGTGCATGGAACCGTGTATTTTGAGTTGCAAATCACCAGACAGCCGGTCCATTCTGAACTGTGAGAAAGTTTACGATGAATTGGTTTGTTGCCCTTTAACAAAATCCACTTTTTCAATCACATCTTGACTTTAACTACTTCCCATCTGACTTTACCAACAGGTAGGTGATGTCGCTGCTCTTCCCCTGCCGATGGCATGCACCTTGACGCATGTACAACCGAACAACTTGTATTACTTCATTGTCCGGTCCGTTGACCGATTCCGTCGCTACAGTGCCTGGTCCAATGTCGTTAACGCTTACGTTGGCTGACGGATGCTAACCTCTGCGGTTATGGTGCCATGTTTAGTTGTTTTTCACTGATACGCATTTACCATGTACAGTTGCTGGAGGAAGTCACGTGTCTATCATTCATCCGATTGTATATCAGGGACAGATGAATCTTGCTAACTATCTACAGCAACATATCTTCCGTTGTGAGATGCGTAGATTTTTCCACTTAACGAGATAACGCTTGATTTTTCTTATTTGTATGCTGTTGTACATGCTTGCTGACATTTTTGTGCTCGCCACCGATCACTGAGAGTGTGAAATCTGTCTTTGGTCTCCCTCGTAGGCCTTTGACTGGCCTGTACAGGCCGTACGGAGCAATTCCACCTTTATCGTGTAAACAAAAATCTACTTCACTCGGGGGTAATTCGTAATAAAGTATCTGAAGAAACGAAAGATCACACCCGGCGATCCTTCTTTACCGGGTGGAGAGTTCACGGAATGGGGTTCCTGTGAGATTGTTATGCTAGCTCATGCTGTTTTGACATTATCCCAAGAATTGTAGTCAGACACGTATTGGCGACGGGGATGGTGCCGTGTCAAATTGCGCTCCCACTTTTCATTCCAGTCCAACTGTCACGAGCTGTTATCTCAATCCTGAATTTCAATGTTTGTCGCGATGCAACTGCAATGCGGATGATTGTAGCAGTTGATTCAAGGCTTTCGTTCTGCCAGGATGTGTTATACTGTTAGTCCTACTTTGTAAGTCACAGTTGGGCCAGCCGTTCCATCCCAGTGGAGGACGTATTGGGGGCGAAGATTTCGCTCACATAAGCCAATTCTCAAAACTCACTTGCTACCCGTTCTGTTTCCTTCCTAATGTGTCTTCGGGTCCAGACGCGCGCAATCTATTCCAAAACTAGTGGACTGACAACAGTAATCGTACTGAAAGATTCGGTCGTTTTTTTGGACAAAAATGCGCTTACTTTCCAAGTGCGGTCTTTGAAAGCTAGTCGTTCGTTCTGGTCGCTTTGAGCGATTACAGCGAATGAAAGTTCGAGCTAGCCTAGGTAACACGTCCGATCATAAAGTGTGCCGAAGAAGCATCAAATGGGTGGTGACATTCAAAATAATACTGTGAGGAAATTTTCCGTCCCCGCCAGCCTTCTGCCTTAAACCAGGTAAGCTTTTACTTATGCCATTATTTGAGTAGGCTGTTTGCTGTTTGGATTGATATCTCGACTGGGCACCATACCGTTGACGGTTTAATGCAAAATGCTGTCAGAGGTCTGATTATACGGCAAGGTTGTTTTACTGTTCTGTATGAGCGCTTGAACTCCTTCCGAAGTGGACCAACACGGATGAAGAGTGTACGTATATCTGCCGCAGGCAGTGAGTTGTTATTTACGCATGCCTCGGTCAATGAATGCTTCCAAAAGGTAACCCTGTCCTGCCAATGCGTCCGAATCCCCCCAAACATGGTTTTCTTGATTGACCTTGACAGTGCGTCCATATCGATGTTGTCGAAGTAAATCGTGTGTGTAATCGGGACACTAATGCACAGAAAGTGTGTACCTAACTGGTTTTGATTGGTCAGTCGGTGAAGTGGCTTGGAAGGCATACACTTCGTCACCAATAACGCATATATGTCACTGAAACGAACAAATTAGCCAAGAAAAAACTGGCCACTTCCAGTTTCCGATAACGGTTCACATTCTTCACTCTCTAATGATCTTGGTTGATTCGGGCAGCTCAACTGACGAAGATTCACAGTTTGCTTTGTAGGGTAACTCACAATATGCACTTTTTTGTGCTTCTTTATTTTTACAACGGGTTGATAAGTACCTACACTGTGGATGCATTTCGACTAATGCTAAGACTTGGTGTTCACTGGCTATCTCATCGAGTTCCTGCGGATGTGTTCTTGTCAATACACTTAATTTCCACGGCCCACCCACAGCTTTTAAACAGGGCATCTTCAGCTCTTCATGGAGCTAAACAAATGCTAAAAACTCGTGCACAAACTAGATAGTTAAAAACCGTTTGGACAACTACCGCTCATTGAGGTGGGATTCATGTTCTTCAAATGAGCAGGTAGGTCACTTGGATTTTAGTGGGATTTTTGGTTGTTCCGTACCCATGAAGCTCATAAGAAGCTCTTTTGTAGTTCGGATACCGTAATGCAAGCGTAAAGTTGTGCGGTCTGGTGACTTGAAATAATACATGAAAGTAGCCAATATAGACCATTCGTATCCCACTCGTAACCTTACACTTCAAGTATAATGATCAGTGCGTATTTCGCTGCCACAAGCTTGGCACATTTCAAACAAGGTACGTGGTGACTGATAGCTCAAGCTTATTAATCGCAACAGCTCCTGAGGTTTAAACTTTGCTATTGCGAAGATTGTATATTTTTGTGCCAGTCAAATCATCGAATTTCAAAATACATGGAACCGCTTACATTTGAAATAACCATTCAGGAACGACCGATCACTTGTTTGTTCGAGACCTCAAAGTGTGAAACTCGTTAGGCAAACGGAGCATACGAGTTTAGGGGAATGAAATTGTTTTCAAGTGGAACTGCACAGAAATGATCGAAAATAAATTGCTCTGAACATAGAAATCAGCAGTGGCTGCATTTGATATGCGTCCAAAGCTAATCCATTTTTGTACTATTGTCCTCCCCAAGAACTGGATTCTTCATAATAATGTTCATCTTGCTTGCTTCTAAACGGCATGATCAGTATGCCGAAAGGTTCTCATTTTTGTTTATTTGGTGTAAAATTTCATTTGTTCAATCTTACAGAGTTTCTTATTGATTGGCAGAATTCACCCATATCTATCAAAACCTATACATATTCAATCAGTTGATTTCCCACACTTATTGCATGCGTGCATAAATAAATATGTTCTCAGGGTTCGGAGGAATGTAATAGCCTTTTGGCATAGATCAGATCCGACTACCTCTCGCTACAGTTATGCTAGGACTACTTCCTAATACGCCCGTGCCACCCACTGTAAGCATACACGCCAGGTAGTGATATCAAATTCACCCCACTAATACGCCACTTCGAAAGTAGCCGATGATCTTCAAGACATTCAACCTGAAGCCCCATGGATTTGGGCCAAAGACAGTGCCTTTTAACCTCGGCAGACTTCTGTTGAAGATGAGAACCCCGGCTGCGCCAACTGCAAGCTGATAACGCAGGTGCCAAATATGGTATGGGTAGGCCAAAGCATCACAGTCTAATTGCCCATCGAACAGGTGAAATAATAGCTTGTACCCAGATGTGAGAGGACCGTAAAGCCTCTATACACTGTGGGCTTCTCGTATTTCTTCTCGGACGTTAAATCAGAAAGTCCAATGCATTCCCGGTTGCTTCTCGGATCGTTGTTATGAGAGTTATGTACCATTATCCACAAACTAAATGCGTAAAGCGGGCTACTAAATGGCCCTTTATTGCACCACCGGTTAGAGAACATTAATTGTACACTTGATCGGTCTAGACCATTTTCGATAATGCGGTCAAAAACCCCTATTTCACTCTCTCTGTGAAGCATTGCTATAATAATGCGCTCTGATGATGGCTCACTTAGTGATGAAGCGCCTTTAGCAATGCTGCCAAGCTTGGCGGGCAGGTCAAACGTTAACCTGTTTTTTATTGCTGGGTGGGGAACGCTTATGGTCCCTGCTAACTGGAACTGTCCTTTGAGTGCTGAGAACTAACACTCCTACAATCCAAAATGTCGACTTATTCAGCAGGGTAATCTTGTTTCTGATTAGACAGCTTACTTATTTACGAAAGTAACAACTTACCATGATTTTCCAAGCCACAGTGAAACCAACGAAATACTCATAACTGATCACCCTGCTGTATTGGTTGCACTCTTGCTATTTAGGATGCAGTAGTTTGTTTGTTAGCACGTTTTCTAAAAGCAAGCAGTCTGATGGCATTGGGGTATATGCACTTATTAAACCTCCGGTTTAGTTGTTCCGATCAGCTAAACACGCCCCATACCGCCTGAAGCGAACCGCAAGCGACTTACCTCACTGAGACTTACTCGCATGTTTTTTCACGGTTCAGGGTCACGAATAGAACTGAGAACGGAAGCAACTTTTCGAAACCGATACTGTATGAGTGATAACCGGCAATTTACTAGACCTGAACATTTTATCGTCGAAAATTGCACGAAAGTATACGTTCCTGGTTTTAATTTAGTATCACCAGGTGGGCACATGCTTGCAGGTGAAAATAATTCCTACTAAACCTGAAAAAATAGTTTTTGTCCTCAATTTGCAAAACGATCGGTTCATAATAGTTGGCTTAGACATGAGCATGTTCGGTACGAAGTGTCACAGTAACTGTTTTCGAAATCACATTTGTTCACGTTTTACCGGGTGTTTGCCAACAGTGAGGCACGTACCAACTTAGGATTAGGAAGATGTGCTAACTTTAGCCTCGTTTGCTAATAATTAACTCAGCCCCGCTATTGGCTTGAAGTAGCGCGCTTCCATTAGAATCGTGTTACCAGCTCTGTGACACGTAAGCTTATTGAAAGATCAGTGTTTCACGTGGATCGGATGTTCGGTTCTCTGAAGTACCGCGGAATGGTACTCTGCTTTCCACCTGGGTAGCCGCGAACGATTACGCATGCACTGTTGCGAAAAACATGGTGATTGCGTGAATAAGTTGTCGTTTGAAGGCCTCATCGGTTGTTCTTGAGTGGACTTCATACTGGTGGCAATAGGTATGAAGTGCGGCATCTATATAAGAAGGGGTATACGGTTTTTTGCGTGTGCTTTTAAATGGAAAAAGGTGAAGTATCAGGAGCGTACTCTCATTGCGTGGAAAACGGGTCTTCGACACTTAAGCGGAATAACCTCTTTTAGTTATCTACCACTTGACCTCAGCTACTGCCCCTGATTTCTAATTTCTACTTGAGCTGACTTCATCACTGCTGATCAGGGGCAGCACTGGACTTCATCATTATAAAAAGGGAAACTTTACTAGGCAAGAATCGATATTTCGAGGACCATGGGTTACATTAACAGCAACAGTAGATCTGACCCGTATTTAACACACGCGAGAATTCCGCCACAGCTGTTGCACCTGTCGACTAATTCTTGTAAAATTACCTGCGACAAATATGGCTTCTCCACTAGGAGAAGACATGGAAGACCAAAGATGACTGAAGAATTTAAGAACACGCAGGCTTGCCAGTTGAATTAATCTGAGGCCAAAATGTACAGGATTTGTACTTTGGAGGCTCCGCTTATTCATGAAGCAGTCTCAATTCGGTAATGGTGCATTGGTGGCTCAATAGGTGCACATATGGATTAACTCGACATTCGTTCCGCACCCGTGTAATTGAGGTCCAAACTATGAGTACGGTTAAGGGGGAATATTTTCAAACAGAAACT